GATAGAAAAGACGAACAGAAAGAGAGAGAACTGAGAGTGTGTGTGTGTGTGTGTGTGTGTGTGTAACATGTGGTGTGTGTGTAACATGTGTGTGTGTAACATGTGGTGTGTGTGTGTAGCAGTCGGCGGTAAATAAATGTATACACAATCTGAATTGTAGTCTGTATTTAAGTATTTCATTGCCGAATAAAGATCGCTCAGTGAAGCGTTGGGCTCGGTTCTCCAGGGCGTCACGTGACCTCCCGGGTCATGTGACCTCCGTCTCTGTTACCGGTCGACTCGGCGGGTCACGGCGTCTCTAATGGCCGCCACGGCCGAGTCCTGATCCAGGATCTGCAAACGTTTGTAGGAGGAAGAGGAGGAGGAGGAAGAGGCGTACCGGTCGTCGGGCGGAAAACGCTGCACCGCCGACTGCTAAACACACACACACACACACACACACACACACACACCACACACCACACACACACACACACACACACACACACACACACACACACACACACACACACACACACACACACACACACACACACACACACCACACACACACACAACACACCACCACACAACACACACACACACACACACACACACACACACACACACACACACAGACATTAATTCTTTATTCTCCGTTAGGCCCCTCCCCTTCCTCCCCAGGTAAATCATGACTCAGCAGTTTCTCACCTCCAGTCGGTTCCTCAGCTCCTCTTGACTCAGCGTCTCTCTCTGATGACTCAGCGTCTCTCTCTGATGACTCAGCATTTCTGTCTCTCTCTGATGACTCAGCATTTCTGTCTCTCTCTGATGACTCAGCATTTCTGTCTCTCTCTGATGACTCAGCATGTCCGTCTCTCTCTGATGACTCAGCATGTCCGTCTCTCTCTGATGACTCAGCATTTCTGTCTCTCTCTGATGCTGACTCAGCGTTTCCTGTTCTCTCTGCTGATTGGCTGTCGGCAGCAGCGGCGGCTCCCAGCCGTCCCTGAAGGTCAGGACGAAGGGCGGGAAATAATGTTCCTTCGGCCACTCCAACCTGCAGGTAAACAGGAAGTAGACAGGAAGTAGACAGGAAGTAAACAGGAAGTAGACAGGAAGTAGACAAAGGGTCAACCTAATCCATAAAGGACATCTTTTTTCTATCTTATTTTATTTTTAACATTTTTATTTTCTGGAGATTTTATTTCTATGGTTTTCCTATAACCAGGTAAAGTGTGTTCTGTGTACACAGGTGTGTTACAGTGAGTGCTCACCTGCTCTTGGTCCAGCCCTCCCCCAGAGTGACGCACAGGTATAAAGGTGTGTAAAGGTGTGTTTAGGTGTGTACAGGTGTGTCAAGGTGTGTACATGTGTGTACAGGTGTATAGAGGTGTGTACAGGTGTGTACAGGTGTGTAAAGGTGTGTCAAGGTGTGTACAGGTGTGTAAAGGTGTGTACAGGTGTGTACAGGTGTGTATTAAGGTGTGTCAAGATGTGTACAGGTGTGTAGAGGTGTGTAAAGGTGTGTCTAGGTGTGTACAGGTGTGTCAAGGTGTGTACATGTGTGTACAGGTGTATAGAGGTGTGTACAGGTGTGTCAAGGTGTGTACAGGTGTGTAAAGGTGTGTACAGGTGTGTACAGGTGTGTATTAAGGTGTGTCAAGATGTGTACAGATGTGTACAGGTGTGTAGAGGTGTGTAAAGGTGTGTCTAGGTGTGTACAGGTGTGTCAAGGTGTGTACATGTGTGTACAGGTGTATAGAGGTGTGTACAGGTGTGTCAAGGTGTGTACATGTGTGTACAGGTGTATAGAGGTGTGTACAGGTGTGTACAGGTGTGTAAAGGTGTGTCAAGGTGTGTACAGGTGTGTAAAGGTGTGTACAGGTGTGTACAGGTGTGTATTAAGGTGTGTCAAGATGTGTACAGGTGTGTAGAGGTGTGTAAAGGTGTGTCTAGGTGTGTACAGGTGTGTCAAGGTGTGTACATGTGTGTACAGGTGTATAGAGGTGTGTACAGGTGTGTCAAGGTGTGTACAGGTGTGTAAAGGTGTGTACAGGTGTGTACAGGTGTGTATTAAGGTGTGTCAAGATGTGTACAGGTGTGTAGAGGTGTGTAAAGGTGTGTAAAGGTGTGTCTAGGTGTGTACAGGTGTGTCAAGGTGTGTACAGGTGTGTAAAGGTGTGTACAGGTGTGTACAGGTGTATAGAGGTGTGTACAGGTGTGTCAAGGTGTGTACAGGTGTGTAAAGGTGTGTACAGGTATATAGAGGTGTGTACAGGTGTGTACAGGTGTGTAAAGGTGTGTCAAGGTGTGTACAGGTGTGTACAGGTGTGTAAAGGTGTGTAAAGGTGTGTGAAGGTGTGTAAATGTGTGTAAAGGTGTGTAAAGGTGTGTAAAGGTGTGTGAAGGTGTGTAAATGTGTGTACAGATGTGTGTACAGGTGTATACATGTGTGTACAGGTGTGTCAAGGTGTGTCCAGGTGTGTAAATGTGTGTACAGGTGTGTAAAGGTGTGTACAGGTGTGTAAAGGTGTGTAAAGGTGTGTGAAGGTGTGTGAAGGTGTGTCAAGGTGTGTCAAGGTGTGTCAAGGTGTGGACAGGTGTGTAAATGTGTGTACAGGTGTGTACAGAGGTGTGTACAGGTGTGTTTACAGGTGTATACAGGTGTGTACAGGTGTGTACAGGTGTATACAGGTATATAGAGGTGTGTACAGGTGTGTAAAGGTGTGTAAAGGTGTGTGAAGGTGTGTCAAAGTATGTAAAGGTGTGTAAAGGTGTGTGAAGGTGTGTGAAGGTGTGTGAAGGTGTGTACAGGTGTGTGAAGGTGTGTCAAAGTATGTAAAGGTGTGTAAAGGTGTGTAAAGGTGTGTGAAGGTGTGTAAAGGTGTGTGAAGGTGTGTGAAGGTGTGTGAAGGTGTGTACAGGTGTGTTACAGGGCTCACCTGCTCTTGGTCCAGCCCTCCCCAAGAGTCACCCACAGGTGTCTCTCCTCTGGACTCCCTGCTGAGTGGAGAAAGTCCACAGCGTCTCTGGAGAGGAGAGGAACCAAAACAGAGCGGGGGAGATCGCTGCCCCCCGCGGACTGTACCACCTGGAACATATGATACAGGTGTTAACCAGCGGACTGTACCACCTGGAACATATAATACAGGTGTTAACCAACGGACTGTACCACCTGGAACATATAATACAGGTGTTAACCAACGAACTGTACCACCTGGAACATATGATACAGGTGTTAACCAACGGACTGTACCACCTGGAACATATGATACAGGTGTTAACCAACGGACTGTACCACCTGGAACATATAATACAGGTGTTAACCAACGGACTGTACCACCTGGAACATATGATACAGGTGTTAACCAACGGACTGTACCACCTGGAACATATAATACAGGTGTTAACCAGCGGACTGTACCACCTGGAACATATGATACAGGTGTTAACCAGCGGACTGTACCACCTGGAACATATGATACAGGTGTTAACCAACGGACTGTACCACCTGGAACATATAATACAGGTGTTAACCAACGGACTGTACCACCTGTAACATATAATACAGGTGTTAACCAACGGACTGTACCACCTGGAACATATAATACAGGTGTTAACCAGCGGACTGTACCACCTGGAACATATAATACAGGTGTTAACCTGAGATTTTTAGAAATACTAACATATAAACTACGCATTCTGGCAGGGCCGTCCCTGGCCAATTTGAGGCCCCACGCAAAGTTATATGATGAGGCCCTCTGTGTCGCAGCGGCGAAACTGTGCCGCGCTTTCACTAATTGCGCCTCATAAGCGCATAACGATGCGCTCAGATGAGGCCCCCTCCGCGAGATGAGGCCCCCTCCGCGAGATGAGGCTCCATCCGCGAGATGAGGCTCCATCCGCGAGATGAGGCCCCCTCCGCGAGATGAGGCCCCCTCCGCGAGATGAGGCCCCCTCCGCGAGATGAGGCCCCCTCCGCGAGATGAGGCTCCATCCGCGAGATGAGGCCCCCTCCGCGAGATGAGGCTCCATCCGCGAGATGAGGCCCCCTCCGCGAGATGAGGCTCCATCCGCGAGATGAGGCTCCATCCGCGAGATCAGGCCCCCTCCGCGAGATGAGGCTCCATCCGCGAGATGAGGCTCCATCCGCGAGATGAGGCCCCCTCCGCGAGATGAGGCCCCCTCCGCGAGATGAGGCTCCATCGGCGAGATGAGGCCCCCTCCGCGAGATGAGGCACCCTCCACGAGATGAGGCTCCATCCGCGAGATGAGGCTCCATCCGCGAGATGAGGCTCCATCCGCGAGATGAGGCCCCCTCCGCGAGATGAGGCCCCCTCCGCGAGATGAGGCCCCCTCCGCGAGATGAGGCTCCCTCCGCGAGATGAGGCCCCCTCCGCGAGATGAGGCTCCATCCGCGAGATGAGGCCCCCTCCGCGAGATGAGGCTCCATCCGCGAGATGAGGCCCCCTCCGCGAGATGAGGCTCCATCCGCGAGATGAGGACCCTCCGCAAGATGAGGCTCCATCCGCAGGATGAGGCCCCCTCCGCGAGATGAGGCTCCATCCGCGAGATGAGGCCCCCTCCGCGAGATGAGGCTCCATCCGCGAGATGAGGCCCCCTCCGCGAGATGAGGCTCCATCCGCGAGATGAGGCCCCTCCGCGAGATGAGGCTCCATCCGCGAGATGAGGCCCCCTCCGCAAGATGAGGCCCCCTCCGCAAGATGAGGCTCCATCCGCGAGATGAGGACCCTCCGCGAGATGAGGCTCCATCCGCGAGATGAGGACCCTCCGCGAGATGAGGCTCCATCCACGAGATGAGGCCCCCTCCGCGAGATGAGGCTCCATCCGCGAGATGAGGACCCTCCGCAAGATGAGGCTCCATCCGCGAGATGAGGCTCCATCCGCGAGATGAGGCTCCATCCGCGAGATGAGGCCCCCTCCGCGAGATGAGGCCCCCTCCGCGAGATGAGGCCCCCTCCGCGAGATGAGGCCCCCTCCGCGAGATGAGGCCCCCTCCACGAGATGAGGCCCCCTCCGCGAGATGAGGCTCCACGCAGTCTGCGTGATCTGATCTGCGTGTAGGGACGGCCCTGCATTCTGGTACACTCTGAGAAGAAAATAAATAAATCTATTACTACCCGACATATTAATAATATTTGATGCCATTGTTTGTTTTTCACTTAGTTCTGACAGCTTGCTGCTCCTCACAGAGAGAAGAGCAAAGAGGAGAGAGTCTGTGAATTACTTTGTGGGTAAGGGTAGATAGCCCCCATTGTTCTGTGACCTCTGACCTGTCAATCATCAAACCAGGGGTCAGATTTCATTATGTGTTCATTTCTATCTGGAGTTGTACCCATGGATGTATAAAGAAGAGTTCTACCGCAAAGTTATTCTCCGTGGGGACTTTCGGCAACCATCTGGATTCTGATTGGCCAGAAGACTCGAGCAAACATCAGCAAAGATGTTTCATTGAGAAGATGATCACTACGTGACAGAAGTTTTCAAAACCGTTTATGGTCTCCGGTCCAACGCCCACTGCATGCACATCTCCCCAGAGCCACTGCATTAGAGTGGATGCATACATATACAAATACGACTATTGGCCAAGACTAAGTCGTTTTTATCGTTTGAGGACTTAGAAAGGGTTATTAACGCCTTTGTTACCTCGAGGTTGGATTACTGCAACGCTCTGTACGTGGGTATGGACCAGGCGTCAATCAAACGCCTGCAGCTAGTCCAGAACGCAGCTGCACTCTTCTAGTTAGAGCGGAGCACGACTCCTGACTTTTCCTTTTGTTTAAATATCTGTTATTATTATAGAAATGTGTTTTTATGTGATTGTAGTTATTACAGGTACAGCACTTTGGCCCCACCAAAACTCGCTTTTAAATGTGCTCTATAAATAAACCTTGATTTGATTTGATTTGTATTTGAAATAGTAAGTCTGACCATCCGGAGGGGAGAGAACAGGAAGTGCAGCAAGTCTTCAGCACTCGGGTTCTGGATGTGATCCCTCAGCTTCCCCTAAAGAGACAACAACAACAACAGTCAACAACAGTCAACAACAACAGTTAGTAAACAAACGTGATGAAGAGGATGATGAAGAGGAGCTACCAGCTGATTGAAGGCCTGCTTGAATTTCTGCAGACAGTCGACGAACTCTTCCTCTGACGGAGGCTTGGACCTGAGGGTCAGCACGCCCTCTGGAGATCAATAACAACAGCTATCAATAACAACATCTATCAATAACAACATCTATCAATAACAACATCTATCAACATCTATCAACATCTATCAATAACAACATCTATCAATAACAACATCTATCAACATCTATCAACATCTATCAATAACAACATCTATCAATAACAACATCTATCAACAGCTATCAATAACAACAACATCTACCAATAGTAACATCTTAGTACCCTCCTCCTCACCCCCGGGCCCTTCTCCTCCCCCCCCCGGGCCCTTCTCCTCACCCCCCGGGCCCTCCTCCTCCCCGGGCCGTCCTCCTCCCCCCCCGGGCCCTCCTCCTCCCCCCCCGGGCCCTTCTCCTCCCCCCCGGGCCCTTCTCCTCCTCCCCCCCCGGGCCCTTCTCCTCACCCCCGGGCCCTTCTCCTCACCCCCGGGCCCTTCTCCTCCCCCCCCCGGGCCCTTCTCCTCACCCCCCGGGCCCTCCTCCTCGCCCCCCGGGCTCTTCTCCTCACCCCCCGGGCCCTCCTCCTCCCCCCCCCGGGCCCTTCTCCTCACCCCCCCCGGGCTCTTCTCCTCACCCCCCCCCCCCGGGCCCTTCTCCTCACCCCCCGGGCTCTTCTCCTCACCCCCCGGGCCCTTCTCCTCACCCCCCGGGCTCTTCTCCTCACCCCCCGGGCCCTTCTTCTTGCCCTTCTTGTTCTTCTTCCTCTTTGAGAGTTCGCCGAAAGCCTCCGTAGATTTCTGCAGTTTCATCACGAAGAACTCCACGTCGTCCAGGATGTGGTTCAGGATTTGCTGCCAAAATAAAAGCCTGTTATAACTCCTCTTTCAAAATAAAAGTCTGCAATGTCTTCTCAAAAATTAAATCCTGTTATAACTCCTCTTACAAAATAAAATCCTGTTATAACCACTCTTTCAAAATAAAGGTAGGTTTAATAAAAGCCTGTGCTGTCTTCTCCTCCAAAATAAAAGCCTATTTTGCTTCCCCGTCAAAATAAAAGCCTGTGATGTCTTCCCCTCCAAAATAAAAGCCTATCATGTCTTCTCCTTCAAAATAAAAGCTTGTGATGTATTTTCCTCCAAAATAAAAGCATGTACTGTCTTCTCCTCCAAAATAAAAGCATGTACTGTCTTCTCCTTCAAAATAAAAGCACGTACTGTCTTCTCCTCCAAAATAAAAGCCTGTGATGTCTTCTCCTTCAAAATAAAAGCCTGTGATGTCTTCTCCTTCAAAATAAAAGCCTGTGATGTCTTCTCCTTCAAAATAAAAGCCTGTGATGTCTTCTCCTTCAAAATAAAAGCCTGTGATGTCTTCTCCTCCAAAATAAAAGCCTGTGATGTCTTCTCCTCCAAAATAAAAGCATGTACTGTCTTCTCCTTTAAAATAAAAGCCTGTGATGTATTCTCCTTCAAAATAAAACCTGTGATGTCTTCCCCTTCAAAATAAGAGCCTGTGCTGTCTTCCCCTTCAAAATAAGAGCCTGGCAGTCTTTATGTAAGCAGATTTCCTCTCAGATTACTTTCTATCCTTCAGATTAAGTCTCTATTGTCCGCGGACTCTCTGACCTCAGATTAAACTGCAGCTGCTCTCACATCAGAGAAACATCTTATATAAATACAGATACACAATAAACAATAAACAACAATAATAATATAGTAATAACAGAGCTCACCACGTCCCGGTCCACTCTGGCTGCAGACGTGTCCCCCCCCTCGTCCTCCTCGTAGATGTGGCGCTGCTTCTCACCTGAACACACGGGACATCATTAGAATAATACAAGTTGGGTTAAAAAATAACAAATAAAGCCCTGCTACCATCAGAGTTTAATACGAACTAAGATATAAATAAAGGTTTAAATTCATATTAAAACATTAAAATATATATTTATATTCCTCCTGCAGTCGATGACATCACTCACAGTCTTGCTGCTCATTGGTCCAGGCCGACCAGGCGGCTGCTCGGCTCTTTACGTCCACCTGATTGGTTGAGGAGGGGGGCTCGGGGGCGGGGTTAGCAGGAGGGGGCGGGATCACCCCGTCACTCTTCAGGATCATCCTGAGGACAGATCGACCAATCAGAGAAGCTTTAGACACACAACTGCATTTTTTAAATCTTTAATATTTCATTTTTTGTTGTTGATTAAAATAAGAAACATATTTGAATGTGAGTTTGTTTACAAAAACTGAAATATAAATATATTACAGTACTTCTACTCAAGTACAGGGTGTGTATTTATATGTATTTGTACAGTACTTCTACTCAAGTACAGTCTATGGTTAAAAGCCTGTTCTCCTTTTTCAAAATAAAAGCCTGTTTTGTCTTCTCCTTCAAAGTAAAAGCCTGTGATGTCTTCTCCTTTTTCAAAATAAAAGCCTGTTTTGTCTTCTCCTTCAAAATAAAAGCCTGTTTTGTCTTCTCCTTTTTCAAAATAAAAGCCTGTTTTGTCTTCTCCTTCAAAATAAAAGCCTATGATGTCTTCTCCTTTTCATTTATTGGTATTCATTTTCTGCAATGAGTACTTCATTCTAATACTTGAAATACCTTTTCCTCAGTATACTTAAATAACATTCTCATTGCAGTACTTTAACGTGTAATGCAGTATTTGTACAGTACTTCTACCTAAGTACAGGATGTATATATGTGTGTATTTGTACAGTGTTACCGTAGAGCCTCTGGTCTCCTCCTCTCTTTCCCTCCTTTAGCGTCCGTCACGGCGCTCTCGATGTCGGCCTGGATCAGGTTCGCCTGGAGGGGAACAGTTACTGACCGCTCTACACCGGGTAGTGTTTAGTAGTAATAATATATCCATCATATATATATATATATATTACCTTGATGTGGTCGCACTGGAACAGGTGCAGGTCTGGTTTGCTCTGCCCCGTCTCTCGCACCACGAGAGCCAGCAGAGAGTCGAAGCTGCAGGAGTTCATCACGGCCTGAACCTGCAGCAGGGAGGACACCGGGAAGTACTCCAGGTCCTTCTGTGTACAAATACACAACAAGTATCACAAAACATGAAGAGACGACACCGGGAAGTACTCCAGGTCCTTCTGTGTACAAATACACAACAAGTATCACAAAACATGAAGAGACGACACCGGGAAGTACTCCAGGTCCTTCTGTGTACAAATACACAACAAGTATCACAAAACATGAAGAGACGACACCGGGAAGTACTCCAGGTCCTTCTGTGTACAAATACACAACAAGTATTACAAAACATGAAGAGACGACACCGGGAAGTACTCCAGGTCCTTCTGTGTACAAATACACAACAAGTATCACAAAACATGAAGAGACGACACCGGGAAGTACTCCAGGTCCTTCTGTGTACAAATACACAACAAGTATTACAAAACATTAAGAGACGACACCGGGAAGTACTCCAGGTCCTTCTGTGTACAAATACACAACAAGTATTACAAAACATTAAGAGACGACACCGGGAAGTACTCCAGGTCCTTCTGTGTACAAATACACAACAATTATTACAAAACATGAAGAGACGACACCGGGAAGTACTCCAGGTCCTTCTGTGTACAAATACACAACAAGTATTACAAAACATGAAGAGACGACACCGGGAAGTACTCCAGGTCCTTCTGTGTACAAATACACAACAAGTATTACAAAACATGAAGAGACGACACCGGGAAGTACTCCAGGTCCTTCTGTGTACAAATACACAACAAGTATCACAAAACATGAAGAGACGACACCGGGAAGTACTCCAGGTCCTTCTGTGTACAAATACACAACAAGTATTACAAAACATTAAGAGACGACACCGGGAAGTACTCCAGGTCCTTCTGTGTACAAATACACAACAATTATTACAAAACATGAAGAGACGACACCGGGAAGTACTCCAGGTCCTTCTGTGTACAAATACACAACAAGTATTACAAAACATGAAGAGACGACACCGGGAAGTACTCCAGGTCCTTCTGTGTACAAATACACAACAAGTATTACAAAACATGAAGAGACGACACCGGGAAGTACTCCAGGTCCTTCTGTGTACAAATACACAACAAGTATCACAAAACATGAAGAGACGACACCGGGAAGTACTCCAGGTCCTTCTGTGTACAAATACACAACAAGTAATTGCTTAGTAAAGCGTTGTGAATGAGTGAGACGCACCGGAGGTGAGGATCTGTGGGCATTTAGCAGACGCCTCATTCCAAAGCGACTGACAATGACCAACAGGGACATTCTCCCTGGGCTAAGTGCCTTACTCGAGGGCACACCAGTAGTGGTGTTCCAGACGGGATTTGAACTCGCAACCTTCCGATCATCAGCCCACCTCACTATCCATTAGACCAGTGGTTCTCAACTGGTCCGGCCTCGGGACCCACTTTTTACTTGGTCAATACATCGCGACCCAACATTTTGAAGCACTCAATCGTGCTGTAATATATATATACGCTTTTGAGCATACAATATTAATAAAAGTGAAGTACAGTGCATATATCCCTTATATCCCTTCACAGAACTAAAGTATGCTTTTAAAAAGGTTTAATGAGATGATGGAATCAAAGCTGAACTATATAAAAAGGCACACATGCTGAAACCCAACCCCAGCAGGGGGTCTGGGGGGATTTTCCCCCAGGAGATTTTTAGAAATACTAACATAAACTACGCATTCTGGTACACTCTGAGAAGAAAATCGGGCCTTCAAAATAAAAGTTTGACTTTTTCCAAAAAAGAATTTCCAATTTTTTTTCTTCACTCACACATCCACGACTCACTCGAAACGGGTCCGCGACCCACTTTTGGGTCGCGACCCACCAGTTGAGAACCACTGCATTAGACCACCAAAAAAATAAAAAATTATTATTCTTTTTTTTTTTATGAGATCCATTTGTGGCGGACAATGTATGGGAAACACTGGCTTTCACACCAAGTACTTTGCCGTACTTAGTTCCCCGGAGTTCTTTAGTTCTGGAACTTTCTAGCAGATCGCGTTCACACCGGAATAAGTCCCCGGGGGAGGGTTAGGCAAATGAAGCCGCTGACGTCACTTCTTCTTCTTCTGCTTTGGGTTTACTGGCAGGCCGCAAACCACTTCACGGCGTATACTGCCACCCGGAGTCCCCGGCCGGAAGTCCCCGGAGTTGGAGACTGGCTTCAGTAGAAGCTGCTGGGACTCCCAGCAGCTTCTACTGAAGCCTTCAGAGGAAATCTCCAGAACGCCGACACCTCCTCATCTCCACCGCTCCCATGTTTTCTTTTGTGTTGCCATAAGTTAGTCTCTCTGCGTTTGTGCGCTGGGCTAATGCTAATGCTAATAATGCTAATGCTAATAATGCGAGGAAATAAAATGGCGGCTTCAGAAAACTTTTCAGAGTTTAACGGGGCGTGGTCTGCAATCCGCCCAGCCAATCAGAAATTGGAACTTGTTCCTCCCCAGGAAAGAACCACCTCTCTAGCAGCGACTGAAGAGGGGGAACAGTTCTCTGAACTAAGTTTTCTTTTTGGTGTGAACGCAAAAATCCCAGGAACTATTGGAACTAAAAGGGAAAAGTACTCCGGTGTGAAAGCGCCTAATGACATCACTTTATAGCACTCGCGCTCCTATTGGCCAGCGCTCCAACACATTGTACGTGATAGGTTTAGGGGCGGGGCTCTGGTTTCAGACAGAGGGTGAAAAGAGGAGCTGCAGCACAGGCAGGATGAGAGAAATAAAGAGCTTTTTGAACATTAGAGCGTGGAGACATGGTTGTTAATATATATGTGTTACCTGCGCATGTTGTCAGTATGTTTTATATATATATATATATATATATATATATAGGTTACCTGAGTGTCCAGGTCCAGCAGGCGGACGCTCCTCTCCTCCACCTGAAGAATCATCTCCTGAGTCCAAACCTTCCCTTTGGCCTCGAGGAGACGCAGCCTCCGAACGCCGTCCTCCACCGAGAGAAGCCCGTCTTTACGGTCAACGATGAAGGAGGACAGGTGCTGAAACACAGGTGAGACAGGTGCTGAGACACAGGTGAACAAGTGCGTCTGTAACAGTGTGTGTGTGTGTGTAACAGGTGTGTGAGTGTGTTCTCACCTCCACCTGGTACTGCGAGGTGTCCGTCAGACTGTTGATGCTGGTTTTGGTGACATGCTTTCTTTGTTCTGAGGAAATGGAAAATAAATGAATAAATATAAAAGAAAACCACACACACACACACACACACACACACACACACACACACACACACACACACACACACACACACACACACACACACACACACACACACACACACACACACACACACACACACACACCACACACACACACACACACACACACACACACACACACACACACACACACACAACACACACACACACACACACACACACACACACACACACTCTAAGAATTTTTTTAAAGTGGACCTATCATGCTATATTTGAATAATATAGTGTAGGACCTATATAAGGCATATTAATTTGAAAAATGTTAGCTCTGTTTTAGCAAGGGCAGATTCAGTGAGAACAGCGCCACCTACAGGCCTGGCATATGTACTACAGCGTCTCCAGCGCTTTGGAACGGCAATGTCCGTGGCTGTCTCCTCCTGATTGGTGGAGTTGGCCCAATAGCCGTAGCGCCACCGTCCTGACGTCAGGACAGTGTTCAAATCTGGATCAGTTTTTATCAGATCCGTTGCAGCCCCTTTTTTAGAGATTTGGGTATGGAGGAAAATAGAGAGGGTTGTGTTTTCTGACACTTGGTGAGTTCCCTGGAACACCGGGGACACATATTCATGTAGAAAAGACGTACACAAGTGCATTTTGCATGATAGGTCCCCTTTAAGTTTTAATAATAAAAACAAAGAAAAATAATAATTAAAAAAAAAATCTAAATAATTCAAATAAATAATAATATTTAAAGAGTAGTATTTAAAATAATATAAATATATATATTTATATATAAATATATATATACACATATACACATGTATATATATACACATGTATATATATACATGTGTATATATATACATGTGTATATATATACACATATACACATGTGTATATGTGTATATGTATATGTGAATAATTAAGTCTAACTTAATAGAATAATAATAGAATAAAAATCTGGATTTTAACAACATGGCTCTGTCGTTAAAACTTTTGATTAAAATCAGTTTTTTTTGTTTCCCCTTCAGAATAATGATCAATATGTTCTCATTATTCAAAGTAGGAGGAGCCACGTTATTAAAATATTAAAATCACACAGATTTCACTCTGATCTCACTGAGAGGCTTTTTGTGTTTGGCCGACGAGCGCAGGAAGTACATTTCATCTGGTCCTGTTAACGAGGAGAGGGTTAACGAGGAGAGGGTTAACGAGGAGAGGGTTAACGAGGAGAGGGTTAACGAGGGGAAACACTGACTTCAACCTACAATATGACAGCTTATTGTATGTGTATTTTATAATAACTGAGATACAGGATGAACCCTGAACTCACCGTAGAGAGCTTTGGCACCGGACTTGGCTTTTTGATGAAGAGGCTCCGGAGACTGAGAGCCATGGCCACTAGGAGAGAGAGAAATACAATTATTTTAAATATACATTATTATTTATTTCAATATTCAGTAACAGTTCGCTGTGAGTTTCTCTGAATTCTTGTCTGGTGACCTTTGATCCCAGCAGGGTCATTCAACGCTTCCCAGTGACTCTGAGGAGAGCAGAGTTTATTGTTTTTTACAGAATATTTTTAGAGCAAACGCTTTATTTCTGGTGACATTTCAATGTCTTTCTTACTGAAGGATGTGTTTTTTGTCACAATGGTGTGTTCAAGGACAGTGGGAAACATCAAACTCTGCTGCTTTCTCAGTTTCTGGCCGTGATATCTGGTGTTTATTTCTCGGTGTGAACACGAGAGGACGAGATGTCTGACAGCTGGACGTCATCGTGACTCGCTGCAGAGAAACTGGATATTTTCTCACGTTCACACTTTATTATTTATTCTGACTGATGACATCATCTATAATTGATTAACGAGGAGAGAGAGACCTGCTCACCTGTAAACACTGACAGGGTTTAACGTCATTTAAAGAATGCACCTTTTTATCCTACACTGACTCACCTGGTCAGAGAAAACACGCTGATCAACACATTTAGTGAAAATAAATATTTCTAGTGTTTTCAAATATTTACTGTGTATTTATTGGGCTTTTATTGTGAAGGGCAAGGCGCCGTAATGCTGTGTTCATTTCAAAGAGGTAGAAAGAGGTTGTTAACTGAAATGCAATATCTTTCCAGACAGATTAGTGATAATATTTTGCTCAATTTTGACCGAAAATATAAAAAAAATCATATTATTTTATTTTGACATGGAGTTATTTCAGCCAATCAGGAGAGCCGATGCTTTCAACACATTATTTCAAAATAAGAGCGTGTTCATTTTCGTACCTAATCCAAGCCTGTATTTAAAAAGCTGCCAAATAATAATAATAATAACCTGAAAAATATCAGCTTTTCACATGTGTTTTATTCTGAAAATACGTTGTTTTTCAGAATAAGAGTTGTGTCTTTTTTTGTTCCTCTCCAGTTTAACTCATTTTGAAAAACATCAGGTAAAGCTCCTAAAACCTGATTAAATGTTTTAATTCAAACGTGTTTTATTCTGAAAATACGGTGGTTTTCAGAATAAGAGCGCAGTGCTGTGCTGAGTGTGTGAGCAGATTGTGAAATTAGCCGCTCAGATTAAATAAGAGGATCAATTAGAGGCGAGCTCCAGTTTCCCTGTGTCAGCTCTGAACACACCGTGATCACATGTTTAGATACATATGAACTGCATACATGTATTAAAACTCCCTGGATCAGTCGTCATGTGATCAGTCGTCATGTGATCAGTCGTCATGTGATCAGTCGTCATGTGACCCTAAAACTCTCTAATGTAATGCTTTATCTGAGCGTTCCTCACATGAAGCTGCAGGTATAGGGTTACGCTGATCATTACATATTAATTGAAGGTTCTTTAGACGAACAGAGAGGCAGCAATCTTTACCCTGTCATGCTCACAGACTGTTTATCAGCTGAAAAACACTTAAAAATACCTTTAATTATTACTTAAATTGTGTTAAAACACCTTAAACATAATATAGGTCAACCTGTCTGCTGTTCTGACATGAATTCAATTATTTACCAAAGCTGAACGTGACTTTAGCCGTAGATAATAAATACATTAAAAAACTAAACTCTTCAAAAAGAGCTTTTAAAAAAAAAAACGTTACATAAAAAAAATAGAAAAAATAGTAAATTAAATCACAAATTAAATGTAATGCAATACTGACATGCTAATATGCTAAGCTAACATGTACGTGACTTTCCTCGTAGATAATAAATAAATTAAACAACTAAACTCTCAAAAGAAGCTTTTTAAAAATATGCTTTCATTTAAAAACAGAAAGAAATTGCAACAAAAAAAAATCCCAAATTAAATAGATTTTATCGAAAACAGACATGCTAAGCTAACATGCTAAGCTAACATGCTAACAGACACTGACTTGGTGGGTGAGCCGTAGGACCCGAAGATCCCCGAGGCGAGAGGCGGAGTTTCGTATCCGTTCATCTTGCAGCTGGAACACAAAACATAGAAGAAGAGAATCATCATTATTAATAAAATCACCATCTGTCCGAAACCAGAGCCGCTCTGATTGGTTAGCTGGCCGGCCTCTGTAGTGATTGGTCGACCCAGCTTAGAGATGTCCCGCCCCCTTTAGCCTATCACGTACAATGTGTTGGAGCTGCTAGCCAATAGGAGCGCAAGTTTTCCGCAGTGACATCACTGTGTTCCGTAGTGATGTCACTGTGTTCCGTAGCGATGTCTCTGTGTTCCGTAGCGATGTCTCTGTGTTCCGTAGCGATGTCACTGTGTTCCGTAGCGATGTCACTGTGTTCCGTAGCGATGTCACTGTGTTCCGTAGCGATGTCACTGTGTTCCGTAGCGATGTCGCTGTGTTCCGTAGCGATGTCGCTGTGTTCCGTAGCGATGTCGCTGTGTTCCGTAGCGATGTCGCTGTGTTCCGTAGCGATGTCGCTGTGTTCCGTAGCAATGTCGCTGTGTTCCGTAGCAATGTCGCTGTGTTCCGTAGCGATGTCGCTGTGTTCCGTAATAATGTCACTGTGTTCCGTAATAATGTCACTGTGTTCCGTAATAATGTCACTGTGTTCCGTAATGATGTCACTGTGTACCGTAGTGATGTCGCTGTGTTCCGCAGTGATGTCGCTGTGTTCCGTAGCGATGTCTCTGTGTTACGATGCATTAACGATACATTTGAAGCGCCAGGCGATGCGATACGATACGATTCAGTCCTGTTGCGACACATTTCGATACAATTTGATTCAACATTATGCGATTCGGGGCGATACGATGAGATTCAACACGATGCAAAATAATGATACAATTCAATATGGTACGACAGAGGATTTAGTTTTATTCTTATATGCAGCAAATCATACATTAACAAAAAAGTGCTTTACACATTTGGTTCTCTCTACTAGCGCATCCCATCATGCTGTTTCTTTTTTACCTTAAAAAAAACAAAACACTTGGACCTTTCACAAACAGGCCTTTCACAAACAGGCCTTTCATTCATTTAAACTATGATTGGCAGTCACATTCTGCTGTATACTAGGGCTGTACCCGAATATCCGTATATCCGAATATTCGGTCGTTGGCCTACTATTCTGTTTTCAATTTGGTTTTTTAAAACGTTATAGACTTAGGTCGCATTCACACCAGCCTTGTATAGTCCGGTTGAATCGAACCCTGGTGCGTTTAGCCGCTTGGTGCGGTTCGTTTGGGTCGGTGTGAATACAGTCCGAGACCTCTGAAGTGAACTAAACAACCAGACTCTGGTCCGCCTGAAAGAGGTGGTCTCGGAGCGCTTGCTAGTGAACTCTGGAGCGTTTCATCGCTGGTGTGAACGCAGTCCGCACCAAAACATACGAAGTGTAGTAGGCTATTTACGCGTCACAAGCAGAGATGGGGTCGTTACTCAAAAAAAGTAATATATTACATATTACTTATTACTTAAAAAAAAAGTAATATATTACTTTAAAAAAAAAAAAGTAATATATTACTTTACTTCGTTACTCTCTACATAAAGGTTAATAAAACGCGTTACTTTACTCGTTACTTTACTCGCAGGGCCGCCCCTCCCTACAGGCAGATCACGCAGACTGCGGAGGGTGCTTCATTTTGCGGAGGGAGCCTCATCTGAAGCGCAAATGCGGCGCACCTACAGTGTAAGCGCGGCACAGTTTTCGTCGCTGCGAGGCTCCACTAGCACTAGAGGG